CAGTGCAATGCTGAATCAATTCCTGTGTAAACCTGAGTTAAGGACCAGTACTCTGGCTTATGAAAAGCAAAGATGAGTTACCCTTAATAACTTCTCCAGGAGGTTATTAGTGGTCCTTGGTGTTACATAAAAATTTAGTCCTTAAAAAAAAAAAAGAGTTCCTGTATTTTTTTCAGAAACCAAGGGAAGGACTTCCCATTCGGATTAGCAGATGCCCCCTAGGAGGCACAAGTCCAGAACAAAAGCCAATCCAAGTGGCTGTGAGCTGTGGGGAGTGGGGAGGGAGTGAGGATGACAGAGGAGAGATGACTCCAGATACCCTTCGACAAATGAAAGTGGCCGAGGTTTCTTCAGTGAAAGCACAGCTCTCTGGAGCCAAGCTTGAAAGAATGTGAGGGCTAAGCAGGGCTCGAAAATTATGAAATGCACTGGTATTAGTAAGTACAGGGCTCTTTAGAATTCAAAAAAGTCTGAAAAGAATTTTTTGCCCTCCAGGAATTTTCCACTGAGCTGAGTATGGGAGAATATGTTTATGTTAAAATAACAACTTAAGATACACTATACTCGAACTTTTTTTTAGTCCTTATCCTTTCTTAATCACTTTTACCTAGCTTATCTAGGATTGACAGACCCTAATAGACAGGAATTCTGGGAAGGGAGAGTTCTGGAGAGGCTGAAATAGGTTGGAATGGCCAGAAAATGTTTGATAAAGAGGTGAGGTTGGAGTTGAACCCTGAGCTGCGATTACAAAACAGGGTGTATCAAGAGGCCCTGAGAAGGGGAGCTTGACTGAACTGGAGCTGAGCCGCAGTGAATACGCAGGCCCGGATGGGAGAGGGCGTGACAAGCTAAGCTTTATGTTACTCAGAAATTTTGAGGGTTTTGGAAGTCAAGGAAATGCCAGGTTTTAGAAAAAACGCACAATAGTAATCTCAATCATCCATCTAAAGCCTCAGTCTTCCCCAATCTAATTCTCTCCACAGTTACCAGGGGTCTCTTGTCTTAACATAGTTTTTCTTGCACCACTTCCTTGCCTACACCATAAAATTGAAAATTCCAGCCTATGCAGGACTCCCTGTGGTCTACCTTGCATCCTTATTTCAGTGTGTAAAGGTGGGAAGGGCTGAGAGGTTGTCCACTCCCGTGGACATTTGCATATACTCTTTCTCATTTGCAAATACTATTTCTCATTTCCAGAACGCCCCCTTTACCCTAGCTAGGTTTCTTTAAATAGTCTAATGCATTCACCTCTTCAGTGCCATGCATGTGATATCATATATTGTATAATAGTCTATTTTATAACTATTACATAGTATTAAGTATTAAATATTTCAAATGTATGCACACACAATGACAAGTACAAGCGAAATAACAGGTTTGGGTTTAACACAACTGTTGCTGACCACCAACTCCACTGCGGGCAGGGAGGGGGGAGGCTCCACTGGAAATTCGCCCTCCTCCTGTGAGGTTCCAGGGACTGGGGGCCTTACAAAACACTTAAACTTAACTGGCATGTTTTAAAATCAACTGATACGATTTTTTGGAAGTTCCTATTCTTTGATTATTAAGTAAATGATTATACAGTTCATAAGACATGAATTATTTGAGGACTCGGACTGGATTAATCAGGTTTGTTTTGGTTGCAACAGAAACTGAACTCAAGGGAATCTGTTGAATTAGCAAACTGAAAAGTCCAGGAATTCACTTGGCTACAGGGCTCTGTTGCAGTCCACCTTGCTTCTCACAGTTCTTGTTCTCATGTTTATGCTTCCTCTGCATAACTGAGGAGGATGGCTCAGTTCTAGTACGCAGCATGGTTCTATATAGGGATTACAGGAGAGACTCTGTTCCAGCCACCTCTACCACATCTGGGAGGTGTCTGATAGGCCTCGATTTGGGTCATGTGTCCATCGTTGAACCAATCACCACATCTAATTAGCCAGCCTGGATCTCATACCCTCTCCTGTGGGGACAGAGTGCTGTATTTGACAACCCCATCAGGCCTCATGAAGTAGGGGGATGGACGCGTCTTCAAAGGAAAAGCTGTCTGTTCTTAATAGAAGCTGGACCTGCAAAAACAACAGGTGCCCACAGCATAGACCATGCCTAAATTATTCTTGTATTTCCCCTAAGACGAAGCACAGAGAAACAGCTTAGTGTTACATATTGAACGAATAACTACTTGTAGCACTTAATACTTTCAAAAACATTTTCACAGACGCTATTTTACTATCAGTAGTAAAGACACTGTGTGACTCACTTAAAGTCACACAGCTGGTCTCTGATAGAGCGGAGTTCGTAACTGGGTCTCCTGGCTTCTAGTTCAGTTCACTTAGGAAGTCTTCCTCTTTCATTCTCTCTTGCTGCCAGGACAGATGTCAAAGGGGAAGAGATATTTTGGTCATGCTTTCAGTCCTTCTTAGAAGGCTTGACACAGTTTTGCACCTAGAAGGCCATGATGGTGGTAGGTGACTCGTAGGCCTCTCTCTTTCAACCTAAGTATAGGTATATATAATGGATGGCTGCCATCATTGTTTAGATTATTAATTTATTAAGTTGCGGAATCTGCCAAGGAAAGCTCACTTATTATTTGTTTCTAAGGCTAATATCGTGTGTTTGACAGTGCTTCAGTGTGCGAACATTCCTTCACAAAGACAGCTCTCAAGGGCAGTGCAGTGTGCTGGCAGTGATGCGGGTTGTAGAGCCGAACTGCTGTTCGAATCCCGGCTCGGTTACTCATAATCCTGGGCAGCACCAGGGACCTCCACGAGCCTCCAGTCTCCTATAAAACAGGTTGACATCTATCCACTACACCTACTTCACAGATACTACAGCTAGGGTGGGGTCAGGGTCTCCTGAAGCCCCTGGCTGCCTGGGGAGGGTGAATGTCAAGTAAGGGTGAGATTCTGTGAGATAAGATGAAAGGGGTAATGGGAACTGGGAGGTGTTCAATTGTACAGTATTTATGCACCAGGTACTGGGTATGTGGCATGAACCTAAGGACCTCACTCTGGTGTTGGAGGCAGGCATCTGTATAAAAACAGTTGTAGGATGCCATGGATCTGGGGACAGAAAGATGTGAGGATTTGCTTGTTTGTTTTTTGGTGTTTTTTGTTTGTTTGTTTTGCTTTTTATTTTATTATTTTTTTTTAGAGAGAGGGGAAGGGAGGGAGAAGCAGAGGGAGAGACACATCAACTGGTTGCCTCTCACATGTGCCCCACCCCCACCCCAACCTTGACCAAACCAAAAACCTAGGCATGTGCCCTGACCTGGAATTGAACCAGCAACCTTTCACCTTGCAGGAAGATGCCTAAGCAGCTGAGCCATACCAGTCAGGGCAGAAAGATATGTATTGTAAAATCTCAGTTTTATCCTTTCTTGCTGCGTAACATGAAGCGAGTTGTTATTATCTATGAAACTCAGTGTTCTTATCTATAAAATGGAGATAATATTTAACTCGTGATATTGCAGTGACCCAGAAGTTACTCAGTGAACAGTGTCTTCTCTTTCTTTTCTTACAATGTACCGTGTGCGGGGAGGAACAGTTAAGGAAGCAAGTTATCTGGCCACAGCAGGGACCAGGCTGCCTGGATCACAAGTTTGGTGAATAGCATAGCTTCCAGGTGATGATCGTGGATACTTGGACTATTCTGTTAAAAGGCTCTATTTTAATTTTACTTCCTTCACATAAAAACAGCCAAATCGCTGTACTGGAAATTCTTAAAACTCAAAACAACTTTGATTCTTTCAAGTGCTGCTATGATGACCTAGTATTTTGCACAACTCCTCTTGTACAGAAAGGAACAAATATTTGATATTCATCTTCATTGTTTACTGTGGGTTGGTTTCCTGTTATTTTTTTCCCTCTGTCTAGAGGAAGGGAGTAAAGGAAACTTCCTTGTTAACCTACTCCTGTATGGAACATGTTTGAAAAAAAAGAAGTACAGAGGGCAAGACTAGAGTTTCTCATCAGGATTGTGACCAGCATGATTCAACTCCAGTATACCTGAGGGATAGTTTATTGAAGCAGTGATGATTGTTCACTTACTCATGTAAAGTAACAGAAGTGCAAAGTACCAGAGAAGGGGGCCCATAGTGAGCCCAGGTAAATCAGGGGAGCTCACCCTCAGAGTGTGCAGTCTAGGAGGAGGTCCCACACGCATATGTAATCCAAGTTAGAAAGTGATTTAACACCGGACAGTCAAAAGATTGGGTAAATTGATCTTGGAATATGTACAGAATTGGGAGAAGCCACTTCTTAGAGAAGAGAGATTGAAGAAGGTTTGTTGTTATTGTTTTTGAAAAGAGGTGGTAGCTCAGTCCTGAAGCACTAGCATAGTTTAATATATGAACCTGGGGACACAAAGGTAGGAGGACATTTGCAGTAGAGGAATTAGTGTCAGGAAAAGTCAAGCCACAGAGGCAAGAATAGGAGGAGCATGTGGTCAGCCAGGTGAGCAGTTTCACTTAGTCAGAAAAGGGAGTATTCTTATCTCTACCACTCACCCAGCACTTATCTGTCCTTTTATTATTTCTTATTTTTATGAGTGTATACCTCATCTAGAGTACGTAAGGGAAGTGTGCTGTGCAAAAGTATGCTTTACTTTCTCTCCATGTCACCTTAGTAAATAATAACACCTACATTATGTAGGTGAGTGGATTCAGGTGAGTGGATTCACCTGCATAGTGTAGGTGAGTGACCCCTTAAAGGTAAAACAGAAAGAAATTGTCTCATCTAAAGGAAAATGTTTTCATGTAAGGTCGATATTTTAATGGATTGGAATGTTTTCCACCTTCTTTTTCTCACACTTAAAATTTTTTTGTTTATTTTCCTCTTTTTTAAATTTATTGATTAGAGAGAGAGAGAGAGATCTGCTGCTCCACTCACTGATGCACTCATTGGTTGCTTCTTGTATGTGTCCCAACCAGGGATCAAACCCGAGACCTTGGTGTATCAGATGATGCTCCAAGCCCAATTGAGCTAACCAGCCATGGCTTTTTGTTTTTTTCTTGATAGTACTAGATAGTGTTGATACTAATATTTAATAGTGTTTGAAAAAATTGTTATGTACCAACAGATGCAATATTCGAGTCAGGCAAAAATCAGCAATGGACACGAAAAGCTTTCATGAGATGAACGGTTGTTGGGGAATAAAATGATCACACAGAACTGAAGTACCACCCCATGGGATAGTGATTAATTATAGAGGGACAAGGGACATCTGGAGGGTACCATCTGGTTCAAACTTAGCATCCCTCCTCCCAGGACAACTTGATCTGTAGTATCAGCCTCCTGACGTGATACAGGATGAAGTCCATGACATCACTTATGTAGCATTCTTGCCAACAGTGTTTCCTCTAAATGTAATTGTGGGAGTAGGGGCATGCAAATCCAGACCGTGGGACACTCAACAGGACAACTGGACCAGATCCTTTTCAAAAATGGCAATGGGACTGTTCAAGAATTAAGGACACTAAAGAGACATGCCAATGAAATGCAAAGAATGATCCATGACTGGCTTCTGGATTCAAAAACACAGCAAACCATAAAAGGCATTTTTAGGACAATTGGTGCAGTGTGAATATGTGCTATGTATTACATAAAATTTATATTGCTCATCATTTTGGGAGGGTATGTTAACGTTGTGGTGGTTAGTATGGACTGAATGTTTGTGCCCCCTCCCGCAACTCACATGTTGAAATCCTTACCCCCAATGCAGTGATGTTAGGAGGTGGGCACCTTTGAGGAGGTGATCAGGTCATGGTGAGGGGGGCTTCTATGAATGGGACTAGTGCACTAGTAAAAGAGCCCAGAGAGCTCTCTCGTCCCCTCCTCCACAGGAGAAAACTGCTATCGGTACCTCAGAAGAGGGCTCTCACCAGGACCTGATCTCAGACCTCTATCCTCCAAAACTGTGAGAAATAAGCTTCTTTTGTTTACAAACCACACGGTCTGTGGCATTCTGGTACAGCAGCACAAGTTAAGACAGTGGATACATAGGAGAATGTCTTGGTTCTCGGGATACTTGCTGAAGTATGTAGGGGTGAAGCATCATCATATCTGCAAATTACTGTTAAGTGTTTGAACCAAAAGAGTATAAATGTTTGCGTATAAATGCTTGAGCAAAAACAACATACTATGTACTGAACACACTGTGTGTGAGACAGAAGCAGATGTGGACCATGTTAACAAATGGTGAATTTAAGTGAAGGATAGAGTTCACGTAGTGTTATTTTAACAGCTTTTCTATAAGTTTGGATTTTCCGACATAGTAAGTTAGGAAAAAGTGAAACTATATCTTTTTCCTGATCATCAAACATCATGTATGCTTGTTCATTGAGAAAAAATAGAAAAAATCATGAAAATTAAAATAACATGTGCTGTGGCAAAACTTCTCTTACCACCTCCCTTTCTAGCCCTTGTGCATCTGCTACCATCAGGCAGTCTCTCTAATGAGGAGTCACGGGGGAAGATGAACAGGAGTCATTTACATTTCTGAGAGATGCTATCAATGGGGTTTCAGGTCACGTTGGTTCTCTTCCTCAGGTTTAATCCTTTCCATGCAGAAGCTACAAACTTTAAAAATAAATACTCAAGTGTGACAAAAACATTATTTTAAAACACAGGAAAATTTCTAGGTTGACCCCTAAAATACCACCAAATTGAACATACAAACTCATTCTTATGAAGGCCTAACCACCCCAAACCTTCCCAGTGCAGTTAGAAGAAGATACACCCTCAGGTGGCACAGCACCCAGGATCTGGCTCCTGCCTCCCTCAGATGTCACCTCCCGTTCTCTCCCCTTCTTCTGGCCTCCTGTATGTTGAATCTCCAAAATGAAACTAGATTTTGCCTTAGAGTGTTCTTGGCCCAGAGCTTTGCATGGCCGGCTTTTCCTCCTCATTAGTCTCAGCTCAAATGTTATCTCTTCAGAGCAGCCACCAGTGATCTCTCCACCTGAGGCAGCTCCCACGACTGCACCTCGGCCAGCCCTCTCTGTTCCTGTAGCCTGTTTGGCTTCTTCAGGTCACTCACTTATCGCCATGTGAAATTATTTCGTTCATTCTCAGTGCAGTCATCTTTGTTGCCTGTCTTCTCCCAAGTTGGATGTAAACCTCCACAAGGGACCCCGTCTGTCTGGACTCCACTGTATTTCCAGGGCTTAGATAGGTTAGGGTTCTGTACATACCAGACACAGAGTAAACATTTTGTGACTGAACAAGTATTCCTTTTCATATACAATTCACAAATGTGCCACTCTGACCACACTCTGTGTGGGTTAGCGTCAACACTTTGATGTTGTAGGCAGTGAGACAGACAGGAGCAGAGTAGGAACCATAAGCCAGGGATGCAAGGTCACCAGGGTGGCAAGCCCTGGGTCCCTAAAAACTAACAACTGGACAGTTGTAAGGTAGGACTTTACTCCCAGGGCAACCTTTCTTCCCCTGGCATGTTGCTAGTCATGTGCTAGACTCTTTTAGAGGAGGAACAAGGGGGCCGGAAAATAGCCTGAGGGGACTCCCATCCCACACAACCCCCCTTGCATGACCACTCCCTTAAGCATTAAACCCTAGGGAGAACATCTAGGCCTCAGTTGTGTGTCAGCTCCAGGTCCAGAAAAGCAGCAAGGCCAGGTGGGGTGACACCATGGCTGACATCAGGACCAGCTGCAATGACTAATGATCTCCTGCCCTGGCACCAACCAATCAGTAGAGACCATGACCCTGAAAGGACAGGACACACCTGGAAAGCTAATGAATATTCTATTGAGATCCTCCCCTGAAACCTCCAGATAAAGACCTTAAGATGAAGGACCCCGCACAGTTCTTGCTCTCTCTCTGGAGCATGCTGCATCTTTTCTCTCCATTTCTTTCTTCAAGATGTATTCCTTTGGTTTCTTTCTCATAAGTTCAAACGGTCCTAGCTTTGCCTCTGTAATTTGTTTTCTGAGCCCACACAGCCCAGTTGGCTCACTTCTTCTACCTCTTTGACTTTCTTTTTTAAAATTTTATTTATTTTTAGAGAGAGGGGAAGGAAGGGAGAAAGTGAGGGAGAAACGTTGATTGGTTGTTTCTTTTTTTTAGGACATAAATACTTGATTTTAAATGTATTTATTTTCTTATATTTAATCTTCATTGTATTTCTTTTTACACTACCTTTTAGTGATCAGTTGCTTCTTGTATGCTCCCCAGCTGGGGACCAAACCTGCAACCGAGGCATGTGCCCTGACTGGGGATGGAACTGGCGACCTTTTGCTTTGCAGAACGACACCCAACGAACTGAGCCATACCAGTCAGGGCTCTTTGACTGTCTAAATAAACTTTTGCTTGTATTTGAGTCTTGACTCTGAATTCTTTCCTAGCTGGAACTCAAGGACTGAGGTCTAACATCTGGTGCCATTTACTGTTAACAATTTGAGGAGCTACACTGAGTTTCTCTTTGTAGGTTCCTAAAGTTCTTTCCTAAAGAAAATCTGAATAAAAGCAGCAAAGCTGCCATGTGGAAGCCCCTCTAAGGAATTAAAGAGCTGTACCTCATAACCAACAGAATGTCAAGGTAAGTTTGTGATCTGCTTAGTCTATCCATTGCATACTAGCCCAGTTCAAGTGATTTTTCTAGGGTCAGGATTCCTTGTTGATAACTTACCAGATTATTATTAGTGCATTTTACAGTTTGGGGACACAGGAAGTAAAGAGACCCATTAAGTTAAAATTAAATATGAGAACATAGTATTTGCAGTATTTGGTTAATGTTTAGTTTTCCCTCTTACCTTTTTTGAACTTAAAAGCTTCAGGAAGCCAGTGGTGAAAAAGCCTTCGAGGCCAGCTTTCCACTGCAGTGGAAATGACTCCGGCTGATTCCATTTACAAATCAGTCCTACGCTTTTCTCTGCATCATCCTTATAATTTTGGCAATATTTTGTTCCAGATTGAAATCCTTCCACTCCTTTTTCAAGTGATGTCCTCGGCTTCCTCTGATTCCACAGTTATTTTCTGCTGGCATTTGAGGAATATTGTTCACAAAACAAAACCCCTAGACACAGGTCTCTAATCATCTCTTAAGAATGTCTCTAAATTCTATTATTTTAGGTAAGTTGCTTACTATAAAATAGAAAATTCATACAAAGTTATACAAAAGTACATAAAATGTGTATAGTTTAATAAGTTGTCCTAAAGCCAACAGACATGTAACCTGCATCCAGGTTAGGAGACAGACCATTGCCAGCACTGCCAAAGCATCTCCATTTTCCTTTCCCATTCCATCCTTACCCTTGCTCCTCCTGGAGGTCACCACTATCTTAACTTTTATGATAACAATTTCTTTACTTTCCTTTGTGATTTTTACTGCTTACTTATCCTCAAATGATATAATTTATTTTTGCCTGCTTTTGAACTTTATATAAAGGAAATCATACTGCATTTTGGTGTTTCTTGTTTATTTTGTACAATATTATGTTTGAATGATTCACCGTGTTACTAGGAGGTGCTTGCATTGGTTCATTCTCATCCATAACACTCCACTGTATCTCCATTTTTTTCTTAGGGTTATTTTTTCTATGGCTGCACTCTGAATTCTTTTTATGGGTAGTTTAAAGGAGTTTGGATATTTTTTTAGAGACAAAAAGCAGTAAAACAGTTAAGAACATTAATTCTGGAATTAGATAATGTGCATTTGAATCTGGACTCTACAACTTAGTGGACTGTCTTGAGTGAATGATCAAACCTTTGTGAGATTTAGTTTTCCAGAAATGGGGAAAATATTACACCATAAAGATTGTTGTAAAGACAAAAAAAAAAGTCTATGGGGCACTTAGTACAGCCACTGGCACGTGGTTACCGAGTAAATGATGGTGATTACAATGACTGTTCTTCCGCTTATTGAAGATGTTCCAGTTCAGGGCCTCTGTTTAACCTTGGCTCCTCCTTGAGAATCTTGCTTAATACTTAGGAGTTGAGGAGACAGAGCTTTACTCACCACATGTCATCATCTCCTCTGACATTGCTTTCCTGGTGACTTCCCCATAAACTCCTCCATAATCTGTCCCACCTTGTGATTGGGTGGGGAAGGTACAGGCCCTTCCTGCCAGGCCCTCAGCAGCTCCACACTGAGTTGCCCTTGAACAAAGAGCAATCCTTGGATCCATTCATTAAGCAGGTGAAGCAGAGCGGAAATATTCTAATCCCCTTTCTTTTCTCCTCCAAGACCTAGCACTAGAGTTGTAAGCCTTGAAATGCTGTTAAGGAATGTGCTGTTTTCACAATGGCAGGAGACTATCAGAGAGATGGACAAGACTCCACAGGCATGCTGGATTCAAGAATCAGGCTATGGCGTATTCATCTGCTCATTCAACAAGTATGAGTGGGAGAACACTGCAACAGAGACTGTGTGAGGCAGGTGGGCTACAGCCAGTGATCTGGTAAATTTACTGAAACTTGTTTTGTGGCTCAGCATATGGTTTATTCGGGTGAGCAGTCCACGTGCCTCTCAACCATGTTATGAATGGAGTCCTATTTATTATCATCCCACACTGGCAGTAGAGAAAAATGAGGCTTATGTACTTTAACTTCCCTTAAGGATTAATCCTATCTAGCTAATAAGTGGCAACATGATATTGACACCAAATTTCTGACACCATATTCTGAGCTCTTAAGTTTCTCCTTTACATATAAAACTTAAGAAAAAAATGTTTCTTAAAAAATTTACCTTGCATTTGACTGCAGAGAAAATCAACACATTTCTAATCATAATATCTCTGAGAATATTTCCTTTGTTTGAGTCGTGAGGATTTTCATCAAATGTTCAATAGTGGGCCCTAGTCTGTAATTCTATTGTGAGTTGCCAAGAAGGAATATTTAATAAAAGTAATGAAAATTTTGCTACAATTTATGATTATATAACATTAACACATTGAGCATGGCATCATTTAGCATCCAACAAATTTTGTTTTGCTATTGAAGGATGTTATATTTAGGTTTTGAGGTTGCATTTTCTTTCTGAACGTTTCAACTACTACCTGATATGCACACTATTAGGCAATAACTAAAAGAACACAGTTTTTAGATTTTTCAGTTTTATGAGCATCATTTGGAAAATTAATCTGAATGGAATAAAAATGGCATACAACATTCCAACAGAATTTTAGCTTAGTATTAAGTTGAACCACATGAAATTACCACTTTGTAGTTAAAAATGATCAACTATTTCTAATTCCATATAGTTCAACTTAATAACTTCTAATATTCCATATGTATGAATTTAATAGGAAAGTAAGCTTTGCTAAGACAAAATTTTGGGGGGTTTCAGTAACTGTTGTGTACAGGATAGTCACTCAAAAAATTGTTGTTCAATGAATGAATAAGGAGAGCAAATGAAACATGGTAACTCACCTTCTATTCCAACACAACACACCTTTGGGTTTAGGTTTGGTGTGGGGATAAGAAAAACAGTGGCCCTGGCTGGGTGGGTCAGTTGGTTAGCGTGTCATCCCAACTCACCAAGGTTGAGGGTTCAATCCCTGTCAGGGCACATACAAGAATCAACCAATCAATGTGTAAATGAGTGGAACAATTCTCGTTCTCCTTTCCTCTCTCTCTCTAAAAACCAATAAGAAAAATAACATGATATGCATTAGTTAGTCTCTTAAAAGGATAAAAAGTTGAATTTAAAAAATTTACCCAAGTGAATTAAAAAACATATGTCCACACAAAAACTTGTACCTGCATTTTATTCATAATAGCTGAAAGGGGAAATAACCCAAATGTCCATTGACCAATGAAGGTTTAAGCAAAATGCAGTGTACCATTCAATGGAATCTTATTTAGCCATAGGCAGAAATGGGTTAACTACTACAACATGAATGAATCTTGAAAACGTTATGTTCAGTGCAAGAAGCCAGACACGTGTATTATATTATTTATTCACATAAAACATCCAGAATGGGCGGATCAGTGCAGACAGAAAGCAGGTGAGTGGTTGCCGGAGTCTGGAGGCCAGAGGAAATGGGGGTGACCGCTGATGGACACATGGCTTCTTTTTAGGGTGATGAAAACATTCTGGATTTAGGCAGTAGTGGTAGTTATATCCTTGTGAATGTACTAAAACCACTAACTTGTATGTACACATTAAAATTAAGGGTGAACTTTATGGTATAAGAAACATTTCAATTTTTAAAAGTAGGGGAAAAACTCAAGTTCTCTTCAGAACATGTCAAAGCACATTAAAAAAGAATACACAAGTGTTTATAAGTCTGAGAGTATTAGGAAATGTTCCCTTGTTTAATTATAAACCGAGTGGAATGTTTGGAGATCTCAGTAATCTGACAGGGAACATTAAGAGGATTAACCTAACTTCCCTGGTGTTAACACCACCAATTTAAATTGTATCATTCAAAGACTACAGTCGTATTAAAGTAATTGTAGCAGTGACTCCCACAAAAACAATGCCAATCAGATGAATTACCCATTAAGACTGTCATCATTTTAAATATTTTATATTTGTATACTGCTTTTACTTCCTTAAGTATTGAATTATAAATAAGATCTATTGCATGGGAGAGTTACATCTCTAACCACTTAATTAAAGGCAGAGAAGTGGGTGGGACTGGGTAGAAGTTTATTAGCAATGCTGACATTCCAGATTGGAACACAAAGTGGATCAGGATTTAAGAAACCTACACTCTAGCCTTCAATGCAGTAGTTAAACAGCAAGAACTGAAATTGCCACATTCTGGAGTGTTAGTTAAAAGAAACATTGAAATATTGAAATACAACATACATATATAAAAGTATATACACCCTTAAAGGTAGACTACGAATTTTCCTCAGTGAACACTCCTTCGGAAAAAGCCTCCAGATGAAGAAAGAGAAGACAGCACGCAAAACTCGCCTTTTTTTGATAGCCAAAGATAGTATTAAAATTGTTAAGTTCCTCCCCCCCCTCGATTCTCCATCATACCGCAGTGAAATGGGGGGACGGGGACAGAGGAACCTTAAGTGACAGTAATGTATACAGTGGTGTGTACTTAATTTTCATGGCAAATCTACTGACACCAGTATCTACGGTACTTCACCTTCACTTAACCACTGAGCAATGGTCTTTTTTGTAAATCCCGACATTCAGAAACAGTTCGTAAACTTACGCATGACTTTTGAAAATCTCCCACATTTGGATGCTGCTTTCCAACAAATTTTTAACCAAATTTTGGAGCACGAAAATGTTGTAAGAAGACGTGCTTTTCCTGCCCAAGTGCTGAGCACCCCGCCCCCACCTTCTTCTGGAGGAAAACAAGCTTCTATTTACCTCACTCCGCTCTTCTACCAGAAACCCGCGGAGCCCTGAGCGCGCGCCAGGGTGGTCCACGACCCCCAGAGCCCTAGCCCTTCCTCTGCACTGGGTCCCTTGTCTCTCCCCCTGAACCGTGGAACTTTTCCTTTAACTCCGCGCTCCGCAAGACTGTGCGGAGCCGGCCGGTTCTTCCCGCCTCCTTCTCCACCTCTTCCTTCCCCTCCCATCCAAGTTTCAGGTGAATGGGTCGCCGAAGGAGGAGGCGGCCATACCACACCTCCTCACCAGCGTTCACCTCCCCCTTCCTTCTTCCTTAGGCGGAGACAGAGCGACTCCGGGGAGAGCTGGCCAGAGCGCCGAGGTGCCCGTGCGGGAGCAGCAGGTGGGGATCCCGCAGCCGGGGCCGTGGACCTCCCGCAGCAATGCCTGGCGTTGTTGCGCATGCCCGGGGGCCGGGCTGTCGGGGAGGGGGGTGGATGGAGGAGGGGGGCTGGTTCCTAACCCGATCCCTGGCTGTGTGCTTGAGGTCCGCAGAGCGCCAGGTGCGACCGCCAGGTGAGCGCGCTCCTCAACTCCCACCGTCTTGGGTGGGCTGGGCGGGACTGCAGTGAGTAGGTGAGAGTTGGAGGCCGCGGGGGACCGCAGCAAGCGTGTCTGGTAGGGGAGGCGCGGGGGAAGGGCGCTCAGGCTAGTTTCGGTGGCGGTTTCGCCCCTGGGCTGGGACTTGCGGGAACCGGAGAGGTGCGGGGCCGCGCTGGGCTAACTTGAAGCTGCGTCCCAGGGCCACCAGGGCCACTTGGAGGCGCCCATCAGCTCCTTCGGCGGAAATGCTTTACTACGAGTGTGCCCAGGTGGCCCGGGCACCTTTGCTTTTAGAGGGGCAACAGGTTCGTGAACAGTGAGAACCCTGCGCTCTGCTCTCCCGGCTGCAGTTCTGCGGGTCCTCGGGGAGAGGAGCGCGGCGCCCAGCTCCTCCGGAGTCCTGCGCCCCGGAGCTGGAGCGAGAGGGGCGCTCGCTGGCCGGGGGGCTTAGATCCGGGGAGACCTCGTCGTTTCAGCCCCCCCCCCCCACGCCACCCCTTTGGGTATCTCGGGGAGAGAGGCTGGCCGGGTTGAACCCATGAAATACTGTATACCTAGAGTGACTGTGGGCACCGACGGACCATTTTGAATTTTGAGTCCACTTAGGGGGAGTTGGGTGAGCCCTCGTGGATTGAAGCTGGGGGGACGGGGTTTAATTTCGAGGGAAGCTGTACTTCGAGGGAATTTGCTCACGCTCGGATTCTCAGCCGTGACCGGAGGCCTCGGGGCGGTCCTCGCTCTGGCAGCGTGTCGTGCCTGGGGTGCTCCTGGGCGCGGCCGGGCGCGCGAACCCCGAACCTGCCCCGGCCGGGCAGCCGGGTTTTGAGACCTGGAAGGACAGCAGACATGTTGCCTTTGTCGGAGGAAGTGTGCAGGGGGGAAATGTGGGTCGAGGGGCCAAAATGGCCTCTGCACCTTGGGGCTGGAAGAGCAACTCCGAGCCCCTTGTGTCCTGGGTGAGGCGCTTGAGCCGGAGGAGAAGCCGCGGCATCCATCCTCAGGCCTGCCCTGGGGCTGGCTGGGCAAACTGCCCACTTGGGAAAGGACCTGGGGCGAGGAGGAGGCAGCCTTACAGGTTAGTGAGCGGCCCTCCGCACAACGGGTGTATTATTGGAATCCCCGGAAAAGGGAAAAGAGAAACCCTTACCATTAAGGCACTGCGGGCAATTCTTGCTGTGATTGAAACTAGTTCTTTCTAGATGAGGTAGATTTCTCAAACTACTCATTCCCAACGATAACAGTTTCTTTTGCCTTGTATCTTTATTTTCTCTGATTTTTTAAAAACAGACATTTTAAATGGTGGATCCACAGTAATGGATATGTCCTCAGACAATTTTGTGGGGTTTTTTTTTTTGTAGTTGTGCATTTATTTAGTTATTAGCTGCCTCCTTTGTTAGGTGATGGAGAGGACAATAGTGAGATTTAGACAACTTCCAGGCGATTTAGGGGAATGATGGGCAATTCCTTCTGTGTTGGGGGCTCTCTTCTAAAAGTGTTTGTACATTATATCATTTAGTCAACCACTCTAAAAGGCAGACCTTATTAAAACTCTTTTAAAAGTGAGTAAACACCTTTAAACCTAGTTACCTTCCTAGACTTGAATGTCATATGAATCAGCTGGGGATCTTATTAAAATACAGATTCTGATGAATAGGTCAGAGGTGGGGCCTGGAATTCCGCATTTTTAACAGGCTCCCAGGTGATACCCACATGGTTATGTATTTCACTCTTATGTCTCTTCCCCTAAGACTATATGCTCTTAATTATGTTTGTTGAACTTAAAGGATTGTATTTACTGGGCGTTAGGAGTGAAGAACTTGAGGATGGTCAGTGCTGGATTGAAACCCCACCTGTAATGTGGACTATTGGTTTTTATAAGTCATATATTGGTAGATTATACTTTTTACCAGGGATAAGGAATGATTGTGATGCTCAAAACAGACATCTAAGTGCTTGTGAAGCTGACATTTCAAGTGGGGTGGAGATGGTGGCAGTGAAAAAAAAAAGAAAAGAAATACTAATAGTTTTAGTTTGGGGGGAAACTTGCTCTGAAAGTAAAACATGTCGTGGATGGAGTGTGTGACTGGGAAGACATCTCTGAGGAGGTGATGTTTGAGCTGAGACCTGAACCACAGGCACCTGCCATGTAAAGATCTGAGTGTACTTAGGAAACTCACAAGATCAGGGCCTTCCTTGGATTGCTGCTTTTATTCTAGACAATGATTCTCAAAATATATGGTGTGCTTAAAATTAATCTGGAGAGCTTATTAAAAAAACAGTTTCTGACACAGAGCTCATCTATTTCAAAATCTGCCGAATTTCAGAATTTTAGGCAGTTTGCTAATGATGTGCCTATAATCTAAATAGAAGCATTTCATATCAGGGTCACTTAAAAAACTTCTTAAAAGCAAATGAACTATTGCTACCTGTGATTGAAGAGGAACAGTCTGCCTTACATATAATAAAGTTTATTTTTTTACTCTTTTGACAGTTGGCTTTAAAGAATAATTTTGGGCCATAGTATTTTCAGACTTCTAAGTTTCAACTTAGCTTTTTTGTTTTTAATTAAGACAGCTTTTGATCACTGAGCATTTTCAAGGGGAAAAATTTTGTTGTGAGTTAACATGAGCTGGCTTTCAGCTTAACATATCAGTAAGTGTTTGCTACTGTTTGCCCCTGACTCTTACTTAGCTGTTCGATCTGTGTCCCTTCACTGTCGTGACTTGCTGTGCTGGGCCTCGGACAACAGCTTGTCGTGTCTTGGCTCTCTTTCTCCTTTGGCTGTGGCCTTAAAGCACAGCCACAGACTGTCTTAAAGGAGACCTTTTAAGTCCTTCTGTCCAGTCTCCCCAAAATATCAAACAACTTAAGTTTTGCATAATTGGCATGAGATGGAATTGTTAGTTGTTGTTTTTGGAGGGTGAGGGAGATTTCTCCTAACGTTGAGAGGAATCTGCAGTATTTTTTAGTTTTTTCAAAGAACCATTTCTAGGACTACAAAGACGTATTTGAAGCTCTTTACATATTTGAAGGTAGCCTTAGTGGTCCAGGCCAGACATCTCCTGTTTTTCCAGTCACCTGTGTTAAGGCATGATTTCTTAAGACCTTTACTAATTTTAGCCCTGGCTGGTGTGGCTCAGTGGATTGAGTGCCAGCCTGTGAACCAAAAGGTCGCTGGTTTGATTCCGTCAGGGCACATGCCTAGGATCGATGTATCTCTTACACTGATGTTTCTCTCCCTCTCTTTCTCCCTCCCTTCCCCTCTTTCTAAAAATAAATAAATATTTTTAAAAATCTTTAATAATTTTAGTCACCCTCCTGGAGAGGCACTTAGTCGGAGCACGATGCACACATTTTAAGGTCATGCAGAGGTTTGCTTCTTTTTAATAACTGTGTCATTCCTAGACCCACGCACTACCTCTGTGCATACTGCCTGAGTTTGCAGTAGTACGTTAGCTTTTGTTGAAATTCTCACCAAGGTAATGCACTTAAAAATGGAAAGTTATTGGCCCTGGCCGGGTAGCTTGTTGTTTAGAACATCGTCCTGACACACCATGGTTGTGGGTTTGATTCCTGGTCAGGACACATACAAGAAGCAACCAATGAGCTCACAAGTAAGTGGGGCAACAAGTTAATGTTTCTCTCCCCCCAATCAATTTTTAAAAAGTTATTTTAAAAATGGAGTTATTAAGCCAGATCTCCCTATCCAGTACTTACTCTATTAATTTCTTAAAATTGAGTTTACATTTTTTTAATTGATTTATCCATACCACCAGTATTTGAAAATGTATAGAGTATACCTAATTGCCTAAACACTGAAATTTCTCACCTTCAGGACAGCCACCTTGAAGTGAATAATACGTTTTCTTATCTTTTTTAATTCATGTTTTACTTAGTTCTCCCAGCTGAGAAGTCCGTATTATTTCCCATTTGACAGAGGATGGTAGTGAGGCTCAGAGATGAGGAATTTGTGTAAGGTCATGAGCTTTTACAACCACTTCGTTTGTTTCAGCTGATCACTCTGGTCTTACAGAGAGCCTGACTGGTGTTGATATCCCTGCAGCTAGTGGGTTTGCCAGCTGCACACCTGGATTAGCTTGTTGCATCCACTTTGTGTGTAGTCACCAGTAGAAACCTCCCTCCAGGTGGACATAAATGGTCCATTCTTTCATCCTAATTAGGTTTCATTATTCAGCCCCTTAGAAAGCTGCGTAATGACACTGTGTACACAGCAAGGATGTGCTCAAGATTCTTGGGATTCTGTCTGCACTTCCTTCGCCTACCAGTCTGGTAACCCCCAGAAAGGAAGTTGGTGTGGCATGGCGTGTTCTTAATTAGCTTCCTAAAATTACTTGCTTCACAATTTAAAATCTTTGCTATTAGGGAAGACAGGACACCTAAACTCTGAATCTAGGAAATAGCAGTTTGGGAAGGGGTTTTGTCTGGATTTTTGACAAAACTGAAACTATAGCCTGGGGCTGGATTCATTTAGAATTTTCAGAAATCATCACTGAGCCTGGAATTTTTGGCATAGTTTTGAATGAATGAGTCATAGGTATAGAAAGAATGAGAATCCTCCTCTCGAGTCAGTTTGTCAGTATGTGACATGCTGCTTTAGAAGTAGTGTCCTGCCGTTATGTCTAAATTCAGCTTTTCTTAATATTTTTCTGAACGTCAAGTAGGGAGACATTTAATCTGGACTTTTACTCGTATAGCACCATCATATTTTGGCCTGAAGCGCTCATTTATATGTGTGTTTGGATGCTAGTTACAGGACTGTGTACACAGGTTTTGTGGACTTTCTGTATGTTACAGTTCAATAAAGTGGCTCTTAGAAATAAAAGAATGTTGCCCTAGCTGGTATAGCTCAGTGGATTGAGTGTGGTCCTGCAAACCAAAGGGTCACTGATCCGATTCCCAGTCCGGGGCACATGCCTGGGTTGCAGGCCAAGTCCCCAGTAGTGGGTACATGAGAGGCAACCACACATTGATGTTTCTCTCCTTCTCTTTCTCTTTCCTGCTGTCTAAAAAATAAATAAAAATTAAAAAAAGAATGTAGAAAAGTCTTCCTACGATGTGTTCAGAAAAATTATGCTAATTGTATTGATGTCACTAACATTCAGTATATTTCCACCTTTGAGGTTTTACTTGATAAAAATTTAGGCAGTATTTTATTCTAAGACATTTGGAATTGGCTGTCCTTAAGGATGTGAAGGATAGCTGCTATTGATTTTAAAGAACAAAGTTTAAAGAGCTTGAATTGATACACTGTTCCTAATATAGTGATGTAAGATTGTGTATACTCTATTTGAGAAGGAAAAAAATATTAGACAGTCTAATAGTATACCCAGATAATAGATCTTGCTCAAGTGGCCTTTCTCCCTCCTTCCTTCCCTTCCGCATCCTCTTTCAGTCTTTGCTCATCCCGATACCACTTTATCGCAAAGTTCAGCCCTAAGTTTATGCCTGTGCCAGAGCTGCTTTCTTTGGGTGTGACCTTCAGGAGAGCTGTGTCTCACACTGAACTTCCACAGGTTCCCATGGTATAGTGGAGGCACTTAATAAATACTTGCTGATTGAGTGAAGTTGGAACAAGTTGAGGACTTTTAGAACAAAATCATTCCGCTTTTCCCTTAGAGAAGAGGACTCTTTAATGCAATGTGTCTTTAATGTCCCCCCACCCCCATAATTTGTAAAAACTATGCCCAGTTTTGATCACTTAGAAAAGCAGAAGGGGAAAATGTCCACAGTCCCACCATTCAGAGCTGTACCTTGTAATCGTTATATTGAGAAAAGCATATTTTTTAAAAAAAATTTTATTTATTTTTAGAGAGGGAAGGCGGGGAGAGAGACAGAGACAGAGAGAGAGACAGAGACATCAATGTGCGGTTGCTGGGGGCCGTGGCCTGCAACCCAGGCATGTGCCCTGACTGGGAATCGAACCTGCAATGCTTTGATTTGCAGCCCGCGCTCAATCCACTGAGCTACACCAGCCAGGGAGAAAAGCATACTTTTAAGCCAGATTATGCTTTAATATTGAGGGGCTAATATGTGCTAGACTCTGCTATCTCTGCAATTTCATATGCATTCTCATTTTATGTGAACTTTCCAAAGTAATGTGAAACAACATATTTAGAAAATTTTCTTATGCCCATCTTCCTTATTTTTTGAAGGGACTTTAAAAAAATAAATACCATTTTTAAAAATCACTACAATGTAGGATTTCAAGTTTAAACAATATTTGTCCGCTGGTGATGTGCAGAGCATGGTGCTAGGTGCTGTGGGGACTGCCAGGCTCAGTGATTGCTGTGCTCAGTGACTTCCTGGGCTGAAGGAATTAATGGTCCAATGTGTAAAAAAAGCCGTGGGAAAGATGAGAGAAGTAAACATGGTGTGAAAGGTTACTTGGGATTGGTAGCATTCGTTTTCTTAGTGATGCAAGGAAACTGTGAGCTCAGAGTAATGTCATTACCCTACTTATGTTGCCTAGATTGGCTTATCTTGGGAGCTTCAGGACTTTGCTCATCTTGAAGATCAGGTGACCACTGACCATGTCATCGAGGCCTTTTGAAAGTCCACCTCCATATAGACCTGATGAATTGTAAGTAAATAATTCTTCAGTTTTTTAAAAAGTCTGTTACATGTAAAAAATATGTACCTAGCATTGTTGAAACTTTGTTTCTACAATGTTGAAATCTGTTGTTTGTTTTGCTTTTAAAAGTAAAATATGTGTATTCAGTGAAAAATGAATTTCCCTTTTACCCATAATTTCCAGGATGACAGTTTTTCTATGCAGAGGCAACTATTGTTACCTGTTAGTAATATTTGCTTCAGTATAATCTAGGCTTATATTTGTGTGTATATTTATTCCTTTTTGTTTTTCACAATTGGTAGGAAGCTTTCATATTAGTGCCTTTATTTTTTTTTAAGATTTCATTTATTTATTTTTAGAGAGAGGGAAAGGGAGGGAGAGAAGGAGAGAAACATCAATGTGTAGTTGGCTATCATGCATGCCCCCAACTGGAGACCTGGCCCTCAACCCAGTCATGTGCCCTGACTGGGAATCGAACCTGCAACCTTTCAGTTCTCAGACCATCATTCAATCCACTGAGCCACACCAGCCAGGGCCATATTAGTGCCTTGTTTAAATGGCCATTGGCAACATAATGATTTTATAAATAATGCTTTTATTGAGATATAATTCACATACCATACAGCTCACCTATTTCAGTGATTTTAACATAGTCACAGAGTTGTGGCAGTATCACCACAATTTTAGAACATTTTATGACTCTCTTCCCAAAGAAACCCCTACCCATTAGCAGTCATTCCCCCATTTCCCCCCATGCATAGCAACCAGCAGTCTACTTTCTGTTCTCAGTTTGTCCATCCTGGACATTTCCTATAACTGGAATCATATAGTATGTGGTCTTTTGTGATTGACTTCTTTTACTTTGCATGATGTGTACTGCATTGTCAATTTTAAGAGTGATTCCTGCCATTATGTAAAACAAGAAGCAACATTGAGGGTTCTTGGCATCCCTAGATATTTGGGTTTAACAGTGGACTCTTCAATGTTAAATTTGTTACCAAGCATTGCTTGGGGTTGCCTCCTTTAAGTAGTTTGTAGCGTTAACCCTTTGATAATTGTAGTTGGGATAGTCTCTTGAATAATAATTTGAACATTGGACACAGTTGTTTATGGCAATGTGGTTGTCAAAAATGTTAGAGAATATAGCCCTGGCTGGTGTGGCTCAGTGGATTGAGTGCCAGCCTGCAAACCACAGGGTCGTTGGTTCGATTCCCAGTCAGAGCACCTTTCTGGGTTGTGCGCCAAGTTGTCAGATGGGGGTGTGCAAGAGGCAGCCACACATTGATGTTTCTCTCCCTCTCTTTCTCCCTCCCTTCCCCTCTGTTTAAAAATAAATAAATAAATAAAACCTTTAAAAACAAGAATTATCTTTAAAAAATGTAAGAATATAGTTATGGAGTAGTGTTGCATTACCTGATGTTTATTTTGTGTTGCTTTTATAAATGATGGTGAAATGTAATATACAAGTAGAAAAGGGCAGAGACGTATGTGTGAGTTGATGAGTAAAGACAAAGCAGAATTGTCACTTCAGTCAAGAAAGAAACAACACCTCAGAGTCCCACTCTGACTCAGGGTCAGGTTGGTGCCATAGAGACATAATGTGATCCATGCATCTAATTTTGTGTATTCCTAAATGCATATTGAGAACAAAAGAAATTAACTTTAATAATGTATTTCACTTAATATATCCAAAATGTTATTGTTTCAACTCATGATTGATATAAAGACTGATTCAGGGGATAGTTTACTTTTTTTTAAGACTTTGTATTTTAGAGCAGTTTTACATTCATAGCAAAACTGAGAGGAACTGAGATTTTCCGCAGTCCCGCTGCCCACACATTATCCCTCATTATCCACATCCCCCGCCAGAGTGGGACACTTGTTGTGATTGGTGGTGAGCCTGCGTTGACACATCAGTGTCAGCCAGAGTACATAGTTAATATTAGGGTTCTCTCTTGCTGGTCTGACATTTTTTTTTCATAACTGTGAACCCTATACAGGTAAAAGCACGTCTCAGTTTGGACTAGCCACACTTCAAGGGCCAGTAAACCCGTGTGGCTAGTGGCTGCCATGTTGGCATAGCTCTGTAGCATTTCATCATAGGATGTATCACAGTTACCCATTAAATTGGGTCCCTGGACCAGTTCCAGTGTAGGGCGTTCCCCACACACCAACAAACAATTCTCAGACACCAACAGGGTGTTCAAGAAGTCAACTCTCTGACACTTTCTACCCAGAGATAGCCTCAGACCCTGCAGTTGATGGTTCAGTCCTGCAAGACTGCCCCAGGCGCTCTGTGCTTCAGACCAACTGGCTACAGACTGGAGGTTCCAATTTAGAAAGCCAGTTTGTTCCCTACACCTCTGACTATGAATCAGAGGTTCCCACAACTCTCTCCTTGGGTTCAATTAATTTGCTAGGACAGCTCACAGGACTCAGAGCAACATATTACTTACTAGGTCACTGGTTTATCGTAAAGGACATAACTCAGCAACAGCCAGTGAAAGAGATACCTTGGGCAAGGTATGTGGGAAGGGCTTCTGTGCCCTCTCCAGGTGCACCACTCTTCCTGAATTTCTACATGTTCACCAACCTGGAAGCTCTCTGAAGCTCATCTTTGTTACACAGTCTTGATCAATTAAGTCATTGGCCTTTGGCAATTGATTCAACCTGTAGCCTCTCTCTACTACCTGGAGGTGGTGTGAGTGGTTGGGTGGAGCATGAAGGGTAGGGGTTAAGACTGAAAGTTCCTGCCCTGGCTGGTGTGGCTCAGTGGGTTGCATGCTGTCCTGGGAACTGAGAGGTCACCGGTTCTATTCCTAGTTAGGGTACGTCCCTGGGTTGTGGGCCAGGTCCCCAGTTGGGGATGTGTGAGAGGCAACCAACCTACTGATGTATCTCTCGCACATTGATGTTTCTCTCCCTCTCTCGAAAAAATAGAGAAATAAAATGATTAAAAAAAATAATAGCCGTGGCATGGCTCAGTGGGTTGAGTGCCAGTCTGTGAACCAAAGGGTCTCTGGTTCCATTCCCAGTCAGGGCACATGCCTGGGTTGCAGGCCAGGTTCCCGGTAGGGAGTGCATGAGAGGCAACACACACTGATGTTTGTCTCCCACTCTCCTTCCTTTCCCCTCTGTCTAAAAATGAATAAATAAAATCTTTAAAAATAATAATAATAAGGTACGGTAATACCTATTTTAAAAAAAAAGACTTGAAAATTCCAACCTTCTCCTACCTACCCTTAGTGCTTTCTACTGGCCACCTTATTAACAAAACAAAAGATACCTTTTCCACTCTCAGTATGTAGGAAATTCCAAGAGTTCCTGGAGCAGTGAGCCAGGAATTGTGGAAGACCAAATGTATATGAGAAAAATGTATTTCGTCAACTGAATGGGTGACCAAATACATATTCCTTATAAATCACAATAGTGCACCCGTTCCACTTTAGACAGGCGTTTGGCCTGTTTCCAGTGTGGGGTTATCATAAGCAGTGCTTCTTTGAACATTATGCTGTTAATGGGAGTAAGTGGATACAATCATTTTGGAAAACAGTTTGACATTGTCTAGTAGAGCTGAAGCTAAAAAAAAAAATTGACCCAGAAATTCTACTCCTGGGTACATACCTTAGAAGAATAAGTGCTTGTGAGCGCCAGGATACAAGATGTTCAAGATACTCAGAACCGCAGTGTCTGTGGCGGCCCCAGCTGGAGACAACCCACATATCTGAGTGCAGTGGATGATGGGGCTTTCCAAGTTGATGTTGTCAAGGTCTCCGCTGCCTTTTCCTTCTCATACATTCAGGTAGCTTTTTGAAGCATTTATAGTAGTAAGATGTCTTGCCTTGGGGTGAGGAAGGTGAACTGTGGAAATAATGGCAAAAACAAAAGGGGTTGAGGTCAGTTTGCCAACTGAATTTTGCCTCCCCAAGGCATGCAGTTCTTAAATTCAGTGTATCCACACATCAGTGTGCCTTTTACAAATGTGCTTATGATAAAAATACTGGAGTTTTTGAGAGAGCTTTATAAGGGAGAATCAAGATCCAGTTAGGCATTGATCTCATGAGCCCTCATTACATATTTGATTTACTTTGTAACTCTTATCATAACTAATTATAGACCATGTGAGGAGTAATGTCTTACCACCCTGATAGAGACTCGACTCCGTGAGGAGCCTGGACCGAGACCATTCTGTTCATTGTTGTATCCCCAGTACTGGGCACCACCCCAGCCTGGCAGCTCCAGTAAATAGCTGTAAAATGAGTAAATGAACGAATGTGCCTTCTTAGGTAGGGGAGTGAGGCTACCAGGAATCACATGTATTCATTGGTGGGTCACGGTAGGTGTCTTATCTGAATGCACTGGTCTCAAGTCACGCAGGCAAATGGGCTGTCACTGTTATTTGAAGCTTCAGGGGTTCCATCTGCAGGCACTGTGATTAAACTGATACGGAGTGTCCCACCTGGGTATTTTACACGTTCCCCATGTGTAGCAGGATTTGAGAACTTCTGTTCCACACGTAGAAACTGGAGCAGTTGTTCTCAGTCTATGGTTCCCAGATTGGTTCCCAGTCTCTCAGCATCATCTGGAAACTGGTCCTACCCCACACCTGCGGAATCAGCAGCTTTGGGGGTGGAGGCCAGCAGTCTGCATTTTAACAGGCCATGCAGGGGATTCTGATGCACAGATATCTTTGTGGCTCAGATGGTGCCTGGGCCCATGCGGGCTGCTCTGACAAAGGACTGTAGACTGGGTACCTTATGAACAATGGAAATTTATTTCTCTCAGTTTTGGAGGCTGGAAGTCTGAGATAGGGTGTCAACATTATCAGGTCATGGTGAAAGCCCGCTTCCAAGTTGTAGACTGCCAACTTCTAGTTGAGTCCTCACGTGGTGGAAGAGGCGAGAGAGCTCTCTGGGGCCTGGTTAATAAGGACATTATTCCCATTCATGTGGGCTCGACCTCATGACCGAATTACCTCCCAAAGGCCCCACCTCCTAATACCATCACACTGGGTCTTAGGATGTTGACATTTGAATTTTGGTGGGGGATGTAAATTGCCCCATTGCAGTGGGGCAGTTACTAACAATAGTTTTTTGGCCAGTGGTTTGTTTACATTAATTCCAAGTACTTTATACGTTCTTTCTGGTTACCTCCAAAAAGTGCTAATTTGAAATTGTTTTCATGTGCATTTCAGCAAACCCAGTCATTATGCACCAAGCAATGACATGTATGGCGGAGATATGAATGTCCGACCGATGCTTTCTCACACAGCATATTCTTTCTACCCAGAAGATGAAATTCTTCACTACTACAAGTGGACCTCCCCTCCAGGAGTGATTCGGATTCTGTCTATGCTGATTATCGTGATGTGCATTGCCATATTTGCCTGTGTCGCCTCTACACTTGCCTGGGACAGAGGTTATGGAAACAACATACTAGGGGGTGGTATAGGCTACCCTTATGGAGCAGGCAGCTTCGGAGGCTATGGAAATGGCTATGGTTATGGCTATGGTTATGGCTACGGAGCAGGTTACACAGATCCAAGAGCCGCAAAGGGCTTCCTGCTGTCTATGGCTGCCTTTTGTTTCATTGCTGCACTGGTGATATTTGTCACCAGTGTTATAAGATCTGAAATATCTAGAACAAGAAGATATTACCTGACTGTGATAATAGTGAGTGCTATCCTGGGCTTCATGTTGTTTATTGCCACAATCGTCTACATAATGGGCGTCAATCCAACTGCCCAGGCCTCTGGGTCCGTGTATGGCTCACAAATTATTGCCCTCTGCAACCAGTTTTACACGCCCGCAGCTTCCGGACTCTACGTGGATCAATATTTGTATCACTACTGTGTGGTGGACCCCCAGGAGGTATGGATAATTTTGTTTTTTTCACACCCCTTCTCTCCTTGGGTCAGAGGCTGTCAGTTGGGAGACTTAATACAGTCGCTTAGGGAACTTTTAAAAAATATCATTGCCAAGACCCCACTTCTATTTAAATCAGAATCTGGGAGAGGTGCTAAATGTCATTATTGAGATATAATTAATATGCCACATAATTCATTCACTTAGAGTACAGTCATTGGCTTTTAGTCTGTTCAAAGAGTTGTGCAAACAATCAATTTTAGAAAATCTTCACTATTCTCCAAAGAACATTCATAAATCCGTTCCCAGTAGCAATCACCCCCCGTTTCCCAACTCTCCTCAGACCTGTTCTGTCAATTTGCCTGTTTTGGGTATTTCATATACATGGAATCAGACAGTATTTATGCAGTCTTTTATGACTGGCTTCTTTCATTTAGCATGATGTTTTTGAGGTTCATCCATGTTGTAGCAGGTACCAGTACTTCATTCCTTTTTATTGCTGAATAATACTCCACTAGATGGATATCCCAAATTTTATTTATTCATTCATCAGTTGATGGACATATGGACTATTTCCATATTGGCTGTTAGGAGTATTGCTCTGGGCCCTGGCTGGCATAGCTCAGTGGATTGAGCACGGGCTGTGAACCAAAGTGTCACAGGTTTGATTCCCAGTCAGGGTACATGCCTGGGTTGCAGGCCATGACCCCCAGCAACCGCACATTGATGTTTCTCTCTCTCTTTCTCCCTCCCTTCCCTCTCTAAATATATATATTGCTCTGAACATTTGTGTGTAAGTTTTTGTGTGAACCTGTTTACCTAATGGCTATTTCTTTTGAGTTGAGTATATACTCAAAGGGGTGGAATTGCAGGGTCTGATGATGACTCTGTGCTTAATCTTTTGAGGAACTGCCAAACTTTTTTCCAAAGTGGTTACACTACTTTACGTTTACTGGAAATATATGGGATTCCAATTTTTGTGCATCGTCACCAACATTGTTTTTGTCCCTCCGATTGTCACCATGCTAATGGGTGGGAAGTGGTGCCTCGGTCTGGGTTTGGTTTGCATTTCCTGCACACCCAATGATGCTGAGCTGGTTTTCTTTGGGCATGTGTCTTCTTTGAAGAAATGGCTGTTTAGAGGCTTTGTCCATTTTTTAATGGGCTGCGTTTATTTTTATTATTGAGTTGTAAGAATTCTTTTTATAGCTGGATGCAAGTCCCTTATAGGTACATGAATTGCAGGTATTTTCTCTCATTTTGTCATTCTCATGTCACTTTCTGTATGTTCTTTGCACAAAAGCTTTTAACTTTGATTTGATTTGAGTTTTCTCTTGCTTGAGCTTTCGGTGTCATATCTAAGAACACTTTACCTAACTCAAAGTCACAAAGATTTACTGCTGTGTTTTTTTCTAAGACATATATTTTTTAAACCCTCACCCTAGGACATGCTGATTGATTTTAGAGAGAGGGGAAAGCAGAGAGAGGAGGCGAGAGGAACATTTCCCACCCCGCCATTGCAGATGGAACCCACAGCCTAAGCTTGTGCCGTAACCAGGGATGGAACCCACGACCTTTCTGTTTACCAGACAATGCTCTAACCAACTGAGCCACACTGACTAGGCTTCTTCTAAGACTTTTAATTTTAGCTCTGTCAGTTAGGTCTGTGACCTATTTTGAGGTTATTTGCAGCATGGTATAAGGAAGGAGTCTAACCTTTATGTGTAGATATCCAGTTACTTTGGAATTCTTTTTTGAAAGGACTATTTCACCATTAACTTGTTCATGCCCTACTCAAAAACAAACAATACATTTCAGGATTTATTTTGAAACTCAATTTTATTCCATCAACCTATATTTCTGTCCTTATGCTAGTACCTCACTGTCTTGATTATTGTAGCTTTACAGTATGTTTTGAAATCGGGAAGTAGGAGTCCTCCAACTTTGTTCTATTTCAAGTTTGTTTGGCTAGATTGTGAGTCCCTTGCGTTTGGGTGTGAATTTTGGGATCAGCTTGTGAATTTCTGCAAAACAAACAAAACCCAGCTAGGATTTTGCATTGAATCTGCAGATCAGTTTGGAGAGTATTGTCATTTTTACATCAAGTCTGCTGATACATACAATGTCTCCATTCACTTCAGTCAACTTTAACTACTTTCAACAGTGTTTTGTAACTTTTTTTAGAGTATAAGTCAGTATTTTTAAAAGCTACCCACGTGATTCAAATGTTCAGGTGGGGTAAAGAACCCTGCCTTCATCAACCATGAGTCACCCCCTAGTTATATTAAGAAAATGTTTCTGGGTTACTAATTTTTTTGTCCTTGTGTTTTCTTTTTTTCTTCTCACACTGACTCAGGAATTCTCATTCTTTTACCTGAATGAGTCACTCTGTTTTGAACACTGCAATGGTTTCCCTGCAAATGTAGGTTTTCAGAATGTTTGTTGTTGACATTCAGATGTACTTATGGTAAACAGGGCAGAAGGTTGGTACTTTGGTCTTACCACACCCCCATCCTTTTTTAGCCCTGGGACCACCCCAAACCCGTGTTCATGGGAAAAGGCTGTCATTTTTGGATAGATAGCTGCCTTGAGAGCCACCTGTTACCCATTAGCAGGTATCTGGAGCAGAGTGCAGGTGCCTACCTGACTCCCAAGTGCCTCGGGGCCAGTGCACCACCTAGCACACCTGCCAGGCTCCGGGAGGACTCCCGGGCAGGGTTTCCTTGCCACATAGCCCTTTCTAGCAAGTGCATGAAAGACTCCAAAAACAAACCCTCCAGACTAAATGAATTATTAGTCCATTTTCTCTTAATTTATAGCTTGGTTATAGCATGTCTGCATAATATGGTAAGACACCCTCTGTTAAATATGGCACCTTGGTGCTCAAGGTTTGGAATAGTTCTCCAAAAAATTCTGAAATGGGTTGATGGCAGTACCTCATGTTGATTAACCACGTTCTGAGGATTGAATTAAGGTGTGTGTGTGTGTGTGTGTGTGTGTGTGTGTGTGTCTGTCTTTTGCTAGCTTTAGCCCAACGGGTATGGACTAGGTTTTATATTTCTAAAACATAACATTTGTATCAGTTTTATATTGATTAAGCCACAGATATTTAGTAGGGTGTTTGTAGCGGGTGGATTAGGTACTTGTACAAGGTGCAGTGGGATAAAGTAAGCAATTAAAATCTAATTATGTCAATATCTTTCATCTCTTTTTAGGCCATTGCCATTGTACTAGGGTTCATGGTTATTGTGGCTTTTGCTTTAATAATTTTCTTTGCTGTGAAAACTCGAAGGAAGATGGACCAGTATGACAAGTCGAATATTTTGTGGGACAAGGAACGTGTTTATGATGAGCAGCCCCCCAACGTTGAAGAGTGGGTAAGTATTTAAAAACCAATCAGCCAGCATCCAACGTTTTATTAAACCCCTGGGTTTCTGTGTCTAAACTTGACTTTCAGTGCTCTGTGAAGCTTTGTTCTTAGAATTGTTGTGTGTTGCAAAGTCGCAGCCTCAGACTTTACTCAGACCTGAGGAAGGAAGGTGGGATAAGTGGAAATTATGTTACTACAAGGTAAAAATCAGATTTCCATTTCCAAGAAGTGGATGTAGGAACTGAAAAGAGGTTACTTCTAAAGGAATCATGTAGAAAGAGCGTGGCCTTTACAAAACTAACTGCACCCCTCCCCCACCCAAGCCCCTTTTATTTTCCTGCCTATCCTTTGGAGGGAAACACTATTACTCAAGGTGCTGTCTTGGGTCAAGATTGCCAAAGGGTGTTTTTAGAGTGTTAGCAGGTAGCAGACCTTTAAACTTTCGACATGGAGAACAGCCTGGTGAATCACCGTGTCTACCTTTGCACTAATATTTACCTATGAAATACCTTTAGTGGGGCAGAGAAAGATTAGGATACTTTCCTTTTCTGTCTATACTATTAATCCTGCCTGTGGTAGCTTCCTATATGATGTGATTTGCTAAAAGCCCACAGAGCCTCTCTCTTCAAAAATATCTCCCCAATGCATGTTATTGATAGCCTAACCTGTCTTTAGAGATGTTTGGAGTAAGACTTTGTTTCTCAGAAATCCTCTGTTAAGAGGCTGTTGGGAGCAACCTCAGAAACTGCTATCATAGGTTTCTTTGAGCAGACTGATCTCTTCCATAAAGGTTAGTTGAGAATCCTGGATACTCGTTCCAGGGTAGAATGAAGTGGTGGGGGAGGAGGGCTAGTAGGAAGTAAGCAGAAAGGACTGGGTGGGTACTGCTGGTCACTGCAGGTCTGTGGTAAAAACATTGATCATCCCAAAGGCTCTTTCAGCTCTAGCATTGTACACATCTGGTATTTAATTCTAGAAATGTAGATGAAGTTTTTTTTTAATAGTTAGTTAAGGAGCAAAAATGCAGCAGTCTTGTGAAAGTCAGAAGGTGTGGTATGCATAGTGTGTGCCATGGAGATGATAGTGCCGTGTCCCTGCCCTCTCCTTGAAGCCTGCTGCTTCTTTGTTCTCCGCATTTTTTCCACCCATAAAGCGTGAAGGTGTTAGGGAATGTTTTCTTTTGACCTTGAGCTCCAGGCGAGGCCACCCGCAGACGGAATAGGACAGTCTGTTGTGAACTATGAAGTAAATGTTTCGTGGAGAGTTTCTGGGTGTGTTGGTTTTCACTGGCTGTTAGATTTGTTTACTTAAGGTTTCGAGAGCCTTAAAAAAAAAAACTGACTTAAGAGAGACTAGCCAGTAATAATAGAGTCCCGGTGAACTTTGGGCTGTCCCTGGATTTTACTCTCATGGAGGTTTAATCAGTTCTAGGCGCTTTTGATAATTGGGCAAAAGATAGTCATAGAAACTTAGGGAGGTGACGATGACAGAAGCTTAGAGGACTGAACTTTTACAGATGTGATGGCCAGACTAGGTTGTTGGACATGTACTCGGCAGGTTTACTGTAGTAGTAACTGTTTTGTCATACGAAACTTAAAGAATCATCTGTTGAAGGGTGCATATATGGTTTTGGGATACTAATGTTTTATGGGATACTTGCAAATTCCCTATTTCTTTTCCCTTTCCCCTTGTTTCGCCAACCGAAATGGCTGAGGAAGGGTAGTATATGAAATAGGCAACTTGGAGGTGTTTTAGCCACGGGCATGTTGCTTTTCCTTTCATTCCTCGCTCACCTGCCCATGTTTGTTTTGCTAAACTCGCAACTGGAGCCAGCGCTTCTGATCTTGGGAGAGCTCCTCCGTCTCCCAGTGAGTTCCTGCAGTTCCCCAGCCTTCTGTGTTTGTTGTTCAGAACCTGTGCATCCAGCCCTCTGTTGTCTCTTGGGAATAGGAATATTTGACATAGGTGTATATTTCAATGTGTTTTTTGGAGAGTCAAGTTCAGTGTCGTCCTACACTGCCACCATCTTGGACCTCCTCAGAAAACGGACAGTTTTCTATTTTCCTGTTTTTGAATCTTTTTTTTTTTAAAAGGTTTTATTTATTTATTTATTGTTAGAGAGAAGGGAAGGGAAGGAGAAAGAGAAGGGAAGGAGAGAGGGAAAGAAACATCATTGTGTGGTTGTGTCTCACGCACCCCCTACTGGGTACCTGGCCCACAACCCAGACATGTGCCCTGACTGGGAATCAAACCGGTGACCTACTGGTTTGCAGGCTGGCACTCAATCCACTGAGCTACACCAGCCAGGGCCTATCTTTGATTCTTTAGCACAATGGTTTCTCTGCCTTCCTAGGGACTTTTAGGTTTTCCCCCCTCTCTTTTCTGTATATCTTGTACTTTGTAAAATAAACAGACCATGTTTGCACACTGTTTGGGTGTTAACATGGTTCTTTGAAGTCACTCATATTTGTGCCAACATTTAGTTATATTTTTAATGCTTAAAAGCTCTTTTAATACATTTACAGATCTTTATTTTTTTTCTGTATGTCCTCAAACCCCAGATCTAATGGGTACTTTTTTTCTGAATTTAAATATAATCACTTGGCTCTGGAGCACACCACGCCTCTCTTCCCTCTCAGGCATGCATTTTTACTTTTCTCTCTTAAACTCTAAAGGACCCCCTGAGACTTGTAACTGGGGAGCAGTGGGCGGCGGCAGCTTGTCCTTGGCTCACCCCCCAAGTCTGTCCCCAAGGCCCCCTTTTCTCTGACTCTCCAGTGAGCTGACAGCAGCCCCACCCTGGCTCACTCCTTTCCTGTAATGTTTCTAGAGAGCCTGTGCAGCCCTGCGTAGACTCTCTCCTGTACTCCTAAGCCCGCCCTTTGTTTCACTGCCCCCAGCTTTAGTAAATATACTCTCAAAAAAACAACAACAACCATTCATTGATGAATGATGGGGATACGTTTTGAGAGATGCGCCACTAGGCAATTTCATCACTGTGAACATCGTAGAGCACACTTACACCAACCCGGGTAGTATAGCTTACTGTGCTTGCAGGCCCTACAGTATAACCTTCTACTCCTAAGCTACAAGCCTGCATAGCATGTTTCTGTATAAAACACAAAATTGTGTCAATTACAAGAGACTGTGCAATCAAGAGACACGGTGAATGCAAGATATATGAAGCTCCTACCTACATAACACAGCATTCTGTTTTATAGCAAAACTTTTTTATAAGTGGAAAGAGTACACTCTAGAACAAGGATAAAGAGTATAGGATAGTAAATAAATCATTAACACAGTTTTTTTTTATCATTATCAAATATTATGTACTGTACATAATTGCATGTGCTAAACTTTTACATAACTGGCACTGCAGTAATGCATTTTGCTACAATGTTATGAGCTACAAGTCAGTAGGTGGTAGAAAATTTTCAACTCCATTATAGTCTTAAGGGACCACTGTTGTATATGTGGTCCATCGTTGACTGAAATGTTATGTGGCACACGGCTGTGTGTGTGTGTTTGTTTATTTAGTTGGTGAACCTGATTGGTAACTAGAGAATCTGGAAAATATAGTAAAGTATAAATTTTTACTACCCTCAGTTACTATTTTACTGTATTTCCTTTAATCCTTTCCCCTGTTCTACTTCTTATTCTAAATCAGAAGTATGATTATATTCCCTATCAGTGTCAAATCCTACTTTTTAAAAAAATTTACTGATTCATTTAGAGAGAGTGAGAGAGAAACATCCATTCACTACCCCACCCACGCAAGCACTCAGTGGTGGCCTCCTGCACGTGCCCCAACTGGGGATCCAACCCACTGCCCTGGCACGTTTGGGATGATGCTCCAACCAACTGAGCTACCTGGCCAGGGCCAAATCCCGTCTTTTCTGATTTGACATTATATTGTAGGCTTTTTGTCATATCGTTAACTCTTCCTTAGAAACATTTTTGATACTGTTAAAATTTTATTGAAGTGTAATGTATATCTTTATACACAGAGTAAAGTGCATTAAGTACACTATTTAATTGTAAGTCTTGGTGACTTTTACATGTATAGGGCCATGTAACCATCACCCAGATCAAAATACGGAATGTTCAGTGTCTGAGGTTTCCTTGTGCCTTTTCTCAATGAGTGTCCCCTACAGAGTGGTAACACCCTTATTTCTATCAGACCCATCCGTTTTGCCTGTCCTTAAACTTCATGTATGTGGAATTACATGCTGTAGGCTTTGTGTCCACTCAACATAGTGTCTATGAGATTTCATTTACACTGTTGCATCTGTCATAACAATATTTGTGGACTTTGGGGGAAGATAAAAGCTTTCCTGACCATTCCTTTTTTAAAAGCCCATGGTCAGAATCACACTTATTTATTTATCTATTTATTCATTCATTCATTCATTTTTAAAATTGTAAACAGAAAGATGTTCTTTATTAAAAATAACTCTTTTTAAAAAAATATTTTATTTATTTACTTTTAGAGGAAGGAAAAGAGAGGGAGAAACATCAATGTGTGAGAGATACATCTATTGTTTGCCTCTGGCACATCCCCAACTGGGGACCTGGTCCGCCACCCAAGCAAGTGGCGTGACCGGGAATCGAACTGGCGACCTTTCTGTTTGCAGGCCAGTGCTCAGCCACACCAGCCAGAGCAGAATTATAATTAAAAAAAAAAAAAGTTTTGGAGGGAAATGTCTCTGTGCTATCATTGTATCCCCATATGCCCACTTACAAGTATTTTTCCCACCCTTTCCCACTTTTGTGGGCACTCTTAGTTTCTTGTGATTCCCTTCATTGTTTTATTTTATAAAAATAAACCAAGTAAAGATAGACTTCCTGTACTTTTATACAAAACTTAGCATACTGCTCACACCATTCTGCTTACACCTGGCCCTTTCACAGTGTATCTTGGCACAATTATATGACTTTCAAAAATTGTGTACCTTATATAGATGCCAGTTCATGTATACTTCTTTCTATCAGCCAGATTTCCCAGGC